TGTTGTAATGTGCAATATATGAAATGCAATTGTCAACTTTTGTAAGTATCTCACCAAATGGAAAAAAGTCTTGTTGAATCACAACTTCCCACCACAAAGTGTCAGTTACATGATATTTGGTTCAATGCAGTCGAAGTTAATGCCAGTTAACGGGTTGGGGCGACTTCTAGTGAGAAATAGGAGACGAAATAGTTGTTTAAAGTATGTTTTGTGCTTGGAAACGAGTACGTTTCAGTTCTACCCAGTTAAATAAAGAAGAGTGTTTGGATGAGAAGACGTAGCACAATTTACTCTCAAGTATTTTGTTAGAGATACAAAATACATTTTTAAATCCCGGTCATCAAAAAGGACAACACAACAAAACTCAATTCAAGGTTTCTTGTTTTTATATTTACAAAATAGTTATGCTTGATTTTCATTGTTTTCAAATCAAATAGTCCGTACATTAGTAAAACACCTTTCCACTATTTCGTATTTTTAGTGAAACGTAAATTTTTCGTAAAAAAATATGGGATGACGTTTAAATTTGACGTCGAGGAAGACCGTGACGAAAAATTGTATGTCTGAACAAATTCAACAAGTATTCCGTCACATATGGGCTGGCTTGTTAGTTATAACTGTCAATCAAACGTCACGACCACGCTTTAAAAGTCACATATTCCAAACGATGATTAAGAACATTTAAATTTAAAAAGCGTGCTTTGTTTTCATTACTAAGTTTTTGGTTTTGTCCTTTATGAAACCGACACTAATGCTATCGATCGATATTGGCTGTTGCTTTCATATATTACTTGACGTCGTAGTTGAATGTTCATCAGATACTAATTCTCAAAAATGTGTTTCGAGCAACCTAAAAATACAATTGGTACGCGAAAATCCTCACGAACGATATTAATTTAGAAAAAAAAACTACCGACATGGTTATTAACGTATAATAACGGAGCTCTAAATCCACATTCATTTAAAAAGTTTGCAGCATAGACTGAATACGAATGATGTAAATTAACGAAATGTTTCGTTTTTTGGCGTAAGACAGGCACGTAAGTTCAATCAACAAATTTTAATTCAAGAGATAAACTGAAATTTTAATAAAAGCTATACAATGTAAACAAACTGATGAAATGTTCAGTCTAATTAGTCGCTGGAATAAAATTAAAATTCACAAAAAAAATGTTTTACCACAAAAGACGGCCAGGAGAGTTATGAAACGACTGCTAAGCTGTTATGATTCAACAAAAAATCGGCTTGTCGTGGGTTTTGAATGTTTTATACTTGGTATAAATATTCCTGGAATACCACAGATCCTCATTTTATTAAATCCTTTCTCTATTCTAAGTTATATCTTGAAGCAACAAGTAGTCTAAAGTCTTGCATAGATGGAAAGTAACTTGAGTCCGATGAAAATCGCCTCGAGTTGACTGCACTTTTAACCAACCGTATTGCTCATTCCTTGGCGTAAGTAGCAGACAATGAGATAGACAGCTTATTTGTCTAACGCCAACTTGAACACACTTTTTTTTACTCACCGCATTTTATATTTCAGTTAGTCAATATCATAAATGACTGTTACGTCGAATTAATTGAATTACAGGAGAAAATTATACAGACTCGAGTATTACGAATAATTCACGAAGTACCATGACAGAAAAAAGTAATAAGAGTTGACTATGTTTTTACAAGTGGATTGCTATTTCTGTTCTTCGGAAGTTTCGTTGAGTCACCAAAATTTTTTTAAGCTAAAACTTTATTGATAATTATGACATTGATGTACCTAAATATGACATTTGTGTGATAACTAATCTTAACCTGAATCATTCCTTCAACCAGATCATTAAGAAGATGGTAATCAGAGATTACAATTTTTTAATTAACTGGTTGCTAAAAATTTACGCAACCCTGTGATGTGACGTATTAGGAAACGAACAAAGCCGACCACATTGAAACATTTATTCTTGAGCGCGTGGGCGCACCCACACGCTTTGTATCGTGATTTAAGTATTAAAACAAACAAGAGGTTTTACATGAACGGACTAAACCCCTTGAAGTTTTTCATGAATTTAAATTTTCATCAGCGTTCACTAATCTGGCTTCATAATGAAAATAAACCCATTTGTGGCCGAAAAGTGCACTCATTAAGTATGCGGTCTGCTCTCCAGCGATATACACCCTAGAATTAAGAAGACATTTAATCCCAAATAAAACAGACCGTAAATACCATTTCACGTTAACGCATGTCCTCTAAACCCAGCTTCGCTTTAATATCAACCTTAATTTGACGTGGCGGGAATTTTGCTTTGCTTGTTTTCTGCGGAAATTAGAAAAAAAGTCGTGCTTTTCTAATTTTTACAGGAGAGCGCAAATGAGGTAGTAACACCATTTCTCTTGGTATAAATAAGAGCAAAAAATTGTATACACTTTGTCGCAGAGTTGCAGCTTAGTCGATGCAAAATGCTGTAATAAATGTCAGGACCATTCTAATTCATCACGGTTTTAACTGTTTTTCACCTCAGTGGTATGAGTTTTGTGCAAACGTTGTTTGGAACAATCAGTAATCAAAAAACTTTGTTCGTTAGTGTATTTTACAGCAAGCGAACCGACTCGAGTCAAGTTTCTTGTCGTCTAGATTTTCTACAAGAGTTTCTTTTATTCGATTCAGGGTCTTCTAAGGGTAAAAGCTTCCAAATGTTAAATATTCCGATCAAATATTACATTAACGGGAATTCGAAAACTGTCGAAGACGTCTGATAAGGAAAACGCTGCACATAGCGGAAAATAGGTTAGCGAACTAAAATAATTTTCACATGTTGAACAGACTTCAAAATGTAAGAAACGTACTATGCGGCTTTAATGTTGGGAACTATGCAAAGAATTTTAGCACAAAAAAGCTCGTATCTTTTATGCATCATCAAGTTTATGAGCCTACACAAAGACTAAAAAAAAAAGAGGACAAGGAACCTTTATCAGTGTCTAGAATAATACAAGATGTGAAGAGCATTGACACTTAAGAAATTCGTTTTACTACCACGGCGTGCTTGCTAGACCGTATACAATTCCTAAAATCGACCTGACCAATCTTACAGAGAACAAGAAACTACACCATTAAATATGCCAAGACAAAACCTTCTATTCTCCCTCATTCGATGTTTTATACCTTAATCTTTCTTCTAGTTTCGCTCCGGTTCAGTCATTTAGGGAATTTTGCTGAAACATTAGCTGGCAACTAAAGAAAAGCCCTTATACTGACACTGCGGCCATTTTTCATTTTGGGTCTTACTACAAAAGATTTTCTCGTTTTTTGTTCCAAATAAAATGCTTAAGAGATTTAGAATTGCTGAAATGAGTTCGCGACAAAGCTGCATGTGTAAGACTTGTCATTAGTATTTTTTTTAGATGTGGTCATAAATCAAGAAACATTTCGTAGATTTTTGATACGATTACTTGTTTTCCACCAAAAATCAATATAATAGCACAGATGGTTTAAAGAGTGGATTTTAAATCGCATTTAAGTCCCCCAATAACGCAATAACATAAATTAGGATTAATAACTCATTCGTGCTGCTTTAACGATCTTTAAATACGATTAGTTTATAGTCAAGATTTATTTTACATAAAACTGAATTCTCTCCGAACTATTGACACATTCGATTCAATAAAATTCTCAACAATAAAAGTTTTATTAGACGAACGCGAGTAACGGAAACATGTTGCAACATTAAACGTATTAATGAAATAAATTCAGCAGTCCGCTACTTTTCCAAATGACTTGAATCGTTTCATAAGAAAAATTAATGAAGATCTTTTCATAAGTCCATTGATTTAAGGGACGATAGTAGTAATATAGTGGGGCTTCTGCTCAGTTTGACCTCATTTGACCTGAGCTAGGAGCCCAACTACTTTTAATCGATCAATTATTGACCCCTACATGGCATCATCTTGTATTCAGTTGACATAACCCTGTCGGGTGAGTTCGACGGACTCGAGTTTGGAGACGGGCAGACTCGAGTTCTACCCGCCATCTCTTTTGAGCCTAATAGGAAAGTACAGATTAATAAATAAAACAATTAAGTGTAGTTAGGTTGCCCGAGCAGTCTAAGGCATCAGATTTAAGCCTTGATTCTCGAAAGAGAGCGTGAGTTCAAATCCCACACCTGACCGATTTTCTTTCATCGATTTGTGAATTAAATACCAAATAAAACAATTAAGTATAGTCCGGTTGGCCCAGAAATTCTCGAAAAACAGTGTGGGTTCCAATCCCACACCTGTTTATTTTTTCCTTTGCGTTTTAACATGATTAATGCGAAGTATCAGTTTTGCAAAACTGCAGTTCGGTAATTTTGTTTTGCGTTTAAATAAAATACACAGATTTTCCTTTTTAAGTTGTATCTTTCTTCACTTACAAAGTTCAGTCTTATATAGCTGATAGTTTTCAGTTTTTAATTTCGTTGACGATTTACATACAGTGTTTGTTTGTACCATTATGAAGGATGAAATAGAAAATCTGTATTTTCGTCTTTTATAAGAGTAAAAATTGAGAAATAAACAACAAATCACGCGTAGACAGATTTAACAATATTTTACTTAGACTATTTTCCATATAGACTAAGAATAATATTTTTCTGTTAGAACACGAACTGTTTGGCAATCCATCACGAAACCAGATATTAATTCGAAATCAGAATTTAAATCGACTGTATTTTCCACGCTAGACAAATCACATACCCATTTGAGAAACCATTCTTTTGTCATTCTTACATTACCTATCCATCTGTTTTACCAGGAATTGAATGAACACAATTTTCAAACGTACCATTTCTTATCATTATTTATTGCCGCTTCCGTGTTTCCTCTATTTTTCTTTGACGCCTCATGTAATATTAATAGCATAGAATAAATCAATCTCAAGCTAAAGAATTTCAATTACCAGAGGCAATTTTGGTTTTCGTACCTTGCCCAATAAGCGATCCCTATAGAATATTAAAGAGTGCAACAAATTATTTCAGGACTACAACGACGACATCCGACAAGAACAAATGTGGGAGATGCAGGTGCTTTCCAGCCAAAGAAATAACAACAAAGGAGACGAAGCGAGCGGTGGATCCAATCCGGGGGCGGAGTACGCAGGTGAAGACAGATTGAGCAGCGAAACGGCGGAACCGGGACCAGAAAGCCCCCAAGATGAGCATCCAGCACTACGCGGTATCCAGCCAGGTAAGTGATTGTCAACAGTGCATAATTCAATATTAGCTTTATCAAGTAGAGGATCTGAATAATAGCAAGAAGTGTAGGTTTGTAAACGAGTAAATTAAATTCAAGGGGAATTTCACGATCATTTGCGAATCAATAATTGTGAGAATGTGTCGTGTGGTTGCAGAGTAATATCTTCAGTGAAATATGTTGTTTACAGTGTTAGCGCCAACTTCTGGAAACTTATGTTTTACAAGTTTTCGTTAAAACGATTAAAATGAAAAAGTCGATAAAAAATCGGTGTTAGATTCTATAGTGAAACCGTAATTATTGCACGTTGAAAAATTAGATGGAGATTATATGCCGCTGAGACATGCGATACGTGCAGTGACCGTAAAATGAAAAAGAAGCGTCACATCTGACATTTAAATTTTTTCCTGAAAGGACTTTTTTAAAGAACCTGCAATGAATTTGCTTTTGTTGGGTCCATTAGTTCTTTATCTATCCACAACCCGAAAATACTTAATGTGAAAAAAGTTGGTATAACATACGTTGTGCAAAGACTAACATCACGTTACTTTGTTCTACGAATTTCACGGAAATTGAATGAGTTTTGTTTGCAAAGTGCAAAGTTAATCCTAAATTTACAAAGCATACGTTGTCTAGTGTTGAAATTGTATTTAAGCGCAACTCTGCTCGTAGAGCAACAGAAAAATAAACAAAATTAACAAATGCATTTTATTCAGTATCTTTTTCTCATTCATTAGGTCATATTACCAAACTTTCAAAAAATTGGTTAAGTAGTTCGAATTGTAAAACCAATTATTTGACAAATAATGGCTAATTTCACCTCTTCTCAACGTTTCATAGTTCTCAGAATATGAAAAAGAAGATCCTTCGTTTCCAGCTGATGACGTGATATCAAAATTTTGCAAAGTAAAACCAACTTCAATTTTATAAAACAACATTCTTCTATACTTGTGGTTTATGAACTCTCTTTTATTTTTACTGCCCGAGTGTAAGCTAAGGAAGTATAGTAATCGAATCCACTGAGGAACTTTCCAGTTTCCTGTTTTCTGGTCTCTCGTTTCCGTTTGTCTGTCTGCCCGTCTGTGTCGATTTCAATTAGACAGATAATCTACGAAACTACTGGATCGATTGTTGTCAAATTCTGTATGTAGATGGTAAAACGCTAACCAAAATTTGCTTGTTCATCCCTACCACCAATGTGATGACATTTCCACAAAATTTTTCATAATAAGTAAATTTAAATTTTATAAAATAACATGTACTTGTTTCTGAATTCGTCTTTAGATTTTCCCGGAAATATCAAAATTTTTGCAAAATAATCGAAATTGCACAGCAACCTTTATAGTTGTATAAGTGGAGTTCCGGCAAGGTTATTGCGTGGATAATCACGTCAAGTGTTCGGTTTCAAAATCGCATATGTTTGAATGTCGCGTGAGTTTTTTTGTTTTTTATGCAATTATAGCTATTCTCTATTATATTTTTTTATTAATAAAATCTCAAGAACGGTACACCTCAATGTTATATTCTTAGTATTACACTGCACGTGTCGGAACTGACAGATGTCCTTGCTGAGGTAAATCTCACTAACACAGGTATACCCTCTATGTCTATTAATATATTCATATTTTTGAGACAAGTGTTAATCCGTTTTGCGTTACGGTCTCTCTAGACCAAATATTCACGAGCGTGTTTTCGTAACATAATGAATTCGAATTAAACAGTAGCCGCAGATGGTGATTAATTGAAAAAAACAATCTCTACACCAAAAAATATATAGGATATCATTTAGCTTTACGTTATTTTATAAAATTTAAATAGCGTTTACTAAAAAAAAATGGGAGGACAGGATCAAATTAGACAAATCTTGGTTAACTCTTTTCCATCCACACAATATTACTAACAGACACATAAAATTTGACAATAATCGGTCCAGACGGAAAGGGGAGCCCTATTTTTTCATACCCTCCTAAAACGTGGAGAAAACATGAAAGTACCCATTCGCCTAATACACCTTATCACAATACTTCCTTAGCTTATGCTCGTGAAATAAAAATAAGGCAGAATCATGTAAATGTTATTGTTTTATCTAAGAAACGAGACACAAATTATTAATTGATTGTGCTTTAAGCGCGAGGGGAGTTCTATCTTAACAACTTTCGACCCAACTTTTTAATCGATTTTTAATAAACATTTTAGTAGGTACTCTACCCACACGAGTTTATTGAAAATAAAGTAAAAGGAAAAAATAAAACATCTATGTTTGCGCATACGTAATCTCATCGCTCTCGATCAGAAATAAAGTTGCTAAAAATGTAAAAGATGTAAATAATTAAAGCAAATCCTGCCAAATAAAACTGTTATTTTGACCAATGTAAAACAGGCACTTTTTGCGACGATGTTCCATTCCAAGTGACGGAAATTTACGAGCAAAACAAAGACATTTTAGCACTTCTGTCGTGCACGATCTTTTCCAATGGCGTAACTCAGAAAACGAACAAGTAAGAAGACTCACTCAGTTTTCAAAATTAATGACTTATTAACGACACATAAATAAACCTTGATCGCTTGAACGAGTGAAAATGATTTATTTTTACTTGTCAATGGTATTTCGACGTGCCAATCACACTAACGGTGTTCAAATTCTCCACAACAAATTTTCACTTCTGAAGGCATCGATTTTACACATATCAAGATTGCAGAAATATCTTTTTCGCCTAAGGCGTCACTTACACGTCTTGCCTCTTGTGCTAGATAATTACAAGCCACTATGGTGGTTGCTCGCCGTAATTTACCCTTTCTAGTGTAAACACCAAGTTACACAAGACTAATTCTGTGATAAGTTGTGTGCAACTATTTCTAACATAAACTTTTATTTATTGCTTTTAATTTACACTCGTGTAATCTTAAACGTTACTTAAAAATTAAAAAAAGAAAAAATTCGTGTTCATTTTGTGTTATATAGAGCTTTAATAACTTGTTTACGAGAAATCTCGTTAAATCACACTTTTGGACAAATCTTCTCGTTAAAATTATATCCAAAGTTCGCTTAACAAACATTGTTATGTCGAAAACTAAAAGTAGTGTGGCTTACTAAAAACTTAAATTAATTAACTTCATATATAAATTTATTATATCTTAGTAGATATATTTTTGTTGATAAAGTAAGTTTGTTCTGAAATGAGCGGAATTGCCGAGCACCAGTATTTAATTCCTAAAGTATCCATCATCACGGAATGATCGTGTATTTGATTTAGCGTTCTATAAGACAGCACTTCTGCACTCCCTGAAAATTTAATTTTCCTATAACGTCCCAGTTATGGATGGAATTTAATAGGACAGACGTGAACATATTGCTATTTAGAGACATTACATGTTGTTTATTATCCGTGTCGGCATTTTGACGCTTCTTTATTGAAAACGGTCCGCAAGGGCTTCTTCAATACACAATAATAAATTGTCCGTGTTTAAGATCCCCTTACGCGATTACCACAGTAAGGTGAGGTAAGACGTTGAAATACGAGGGTTTATATCGGCTTAATTATCCTATTTACCTGTCCCGTAGTGGGTCCTTAATAAACAATCAGGACATCGCAATGTTTCCTTGGCCGGAAGATTGCGCAGAGTGCCAGGTCAACACTTACACAAAGCCGGCTGCATAATGAAGTCGCGTATATCACATTCCGTAAATTCCGCGTCTGTGTTGGGTTAATAACTACGCAATTCTTCACTACAACCACGCTCATTTGTCGTCCCTTCGAGTTTCTGGTCCTAAGCGAAGGAACTTGTTGTTTTAGGGAGTTTGTTTAACGGTACTATAGATTTCAATTGTGGGAGCTTTTAGGAGTTTGATTAAAAATTCAAACTGCAGGGAAAAGCCCGAGATGTTTAGGATAAGGTAGCACACTCGATACAAGGGATACGTGGATGTATAAACTGAATTTGTTCCAAATTAGGGGAGTAATGTTGGGCTTTCAATCATTTATAATTTGATTTACAAACCGAAATTGTCGCTTCTAGCCTTGAAACATGGTTTCGAATAGAATATAGTCCTGCGTGAAAATCAAAAGGAACATCCTTGCATTATCTCCAAATTTTTTTTACTAAGTAGTAAACGTAAAGTTAAAATTGGTCGAAAAATAATAAAATTTGATTTTGCGATTTTCATTTTTGTGATAACCTGATAACATTTATAAAGTAAACACTAACGGTATAAATAACACCCCTGCAGCCCCTGCGCTAAGAATTTAGACGTACGAATAATGTAAAATATATTTAAAGCAAATAACCAACGCAAAAAATATCCTCTCAGCACTAATAATAAGCTTAAGTTCAACTGTTTATACTTATACCGGGTGTTTGGAAAATGGCGGATTAACTCTTCAATACGTTATATACGTGGCTTGGGGAGTCCCAAAAAATAATAAAAAAATTCTTGATGATGTAGATTAGGAAAAAACGTAGTTTTATAAAAATTAAATTGACAACCTAATGCGTGAATACTTCCGACTTACTTTCTGATTTCTTAGTAATTATGGTGACTGAAATCCACGTTTTGTTTTTTTTAGGACAATAACCATAACAACCAGTAGTCATTAATCGTTGTGCATTATTATTAACAAAACAAGCTTTTATTTTTCATTAATAAATAAATAAAAAAAACATTTAATAAGACATTTATAAATTATAAACAAAAACAAAATCAACCGCAATGTTTCCAAATTTTGAGTTAGTCATCAGTACTTGCTATGATAAAACTTATTTTGGGAATGACATACCCTCTAAGAAAAGAGAGGGTGGATGGGCGGGGCTAGTACCTGCTAAGACAAAACTGATTTTAGCAAATGACGTATCCTCAAAGAAATTTAATTGAATTATTGTATGAAAAGACACTAGAAGCTCCAAAGTTCTTTCAAGTTCTTTCCAAATAGGAATGAATACCTAGAACCTTAAGATTGTTTTAAATTTTTCAAAAGAAAAACGGGCTCCCAAAATTA